AAAAAAAAAAAAAAAAAAAAAAAAAAAAAAAAAGAGTGTAAAATAATGACCCATGCAGGTCTCCCAACAAGCATGGGACCCAGATAAGTTCGCTTCACAATTCAGAAATAAAAATGAAAATATATCTTAGTGGCCCATGCAGGTCTCGAACCTGCGACCTTGGCGTTATTAGCACCACGCTCTAACCAACTGAGCTAATAGGCCAGTTATTATTGCTTTTGAAGCAAAGCGTGTACTATACTTTTATACTTTGTAAAAATTATTGACTTGTATTATATGTTTGCGCTCTTTGATCCCTGAAGAAAAAGAAATTGTATATATTATTGAATTAACTAATGAATGGATTATATTAATTATATATGCTAATGCTATATTGTATGTTGCACATTGTATACAAATGGAAGGATTTTAGCCCCCAATCCATGCGTGATAGACAAGTAAGAAGTATATGGCGTGCTCTCTCCCTTATGAGTTATGACACTGATTCAAACTAAGGATTGAACAAAATGTATTGATAGATGTCCAGAGCAAAATTACTAAGTACGTGTTTGTATTCACGTCCAAAACGTGAAAAATCACGTTTAACGTGGAAGCTACAACGTGTAGCTTCACGTTAAACGTAGTTTTTCACGTTTTGGACGTGAATGCAAACATGCTCTAATCCAACCATGATTACTACTTTATAAGTCTATCTATTACAAAAGAAATACTTAATGCTATACGAGGAAAGTAAAAATATTTTTTTAGAAGATTTTTGTTTTTTAGAAGGACATGAAAAAACATCACAATAGAGAAAGAAATATGAACTATGTTGACATTTCAATCTCTATTAATTATCTATTGCACACCAAAATATAATTAAGGAGCAAATAAATAAAAACAAGATTTTCATTAAAGTCTATTTAATTAAAAAAAAAAAAAGAGTATGTTTTAAGTCATTTAAAAGGTCTTTTAAGCATAACAAACCAACCTATTGAAATCAAAATAAATAAATACTTGTTATTTTGTTATAATTTATTGAGATGGTAAATTTTCTTTATCTTTTAAAATGTTAAGAATGTTGACTTACTTAAAGACTCAAATTAACTAGTTTATTTGAAGATAAATTTATATCTTATTCAAATTTCTTATTAAAAAAATATGTTTTTAAAAATTACCATCAATTCATTATAAATTTTATATTATATCTTAAAAATATGTTTATATCTTATAAATAAGTTAAACATATGACAATTACATAAGTTAAACTTAAGTTATGTATTTTTAACATACTAGTCTTTTCTATTTCAAATTTCTTACAAGCTTACGTTTAATTTATTTTTACTCTTAATTCTAGATAATTCTTAAGTTAAACTTAACTGGTCTTTGAACATTAAAAATTCTTTATAAGAAGAGCTCTCTACCAAATAAGAAAAGTAGTGTAATGTGGATTTAAATCCATACTCATAAGAGACGTGTGAATTTCTCCCGAATCATTTGTTTCAATATTAAAAATGTTACGATTAACTGCACTTGTAACTTATTTTTGGGCTTTTGGATAATTTCGTAAGAAGCATAACAATATTTGTAGAAGGAATATAACATTTTTTTTCTTTCTAAGTTGAGGTGAATTGAATTTTTGAAATTAATGAAATTTTTTGTAACTTGTGTAAGTTACGACAGATCTTAATATTCAAAAATTGTTTATAATTAAAAAAAAAAAAAATATATATATATATATATATATATATAGTTTATCTACTAATAAAATTTCATATCGGTAGTGAAATTCAAATCTATGTTATGTTATGAGATATGAATTCAATTTTTATCCACTAAATTAACCATTGTTAGTAAACTAATATGTATTTATTTAATTGATTACCTTTGTTAGTAATATGTTTTCGTTTGTGGTAAATGACAATTACCAAACCTATATTATAGGTCAATTAGAAAAATCTCTATTTTTCACGTTGATAAATAATATTATAATATACTTAGGCCAATGCTTAGAGATTTTCCATTCAGTTCAACAAAGAATTAATAATTATCCTTATGCACACCCTTTTATACATATTTTGAAAAACTAAAGGAAAGCATTCTTGTATTTGTATTGTATGCAATAGCTTAACAATCTATGGCAATGCATGTGTCGGCGATGGTTTCACTGTCAACTTTGTTGACAAATGGATTAATCTTAACCCAAATGAGAGAGAAGACAGAGGCCAGCAACACTGACCACAGAACAACAATGGTTGGCGTGCGGTTTTGGCGACCCATGAGACCCTTGAGGAAGGGGTAGAGATGAAAAATCACCCAGAAAGCAAAGAACACTTTCCCAAAGAGGGGTCCCCAAGACTCATACCCCCCATTCAGTGCATCAGAGAATCCAGCAACAACACCAACCATGTTAACAATGATAAGGGTTGTTGGAGGAATCAAGAGTGTAGTCCACTTCACTAAGTAAAGTTCACCAAATTCTGTGTCCTCTGCAGCCTTGGCAGTCACAGTGAAGTTGGTGTCAACACCAGCCAACATCTTGAGAAATCCTTGGAACACAGCAAATAGATGAGCTGAAACACCTCCAATCACCCAGAACTGCTCATTACGCCACAAGTCTTCGATGCTAACGCCACTCCAACGCAGCTCAAGCACACTCGTTATTATAATTGAGAGGAAAAGTCCAAGAAAAAGAACACTTGCAACGTTCGAAAGCTGTGTCAAATTTGTATACAACAACATCATGTAACATATTGGTGATTAGTATAAACAATTCCATATCGATATCTTTTTACGCAGGTTTAATTCTACTTTTTGCTTCATATATTTCATATTTTGTGAATTTTGTCAACTAATTTTTAAAATTGTATATTTTGTCACAAAGCTTTCAAAATTTGTATATTTTATTATCTCATTAATTAATTATTACGTGACACTTGATTGTTAATGTGATATTTTAACTATTAACATGAATTATTGATATCACGTATATATATTAATATAATATAATATGACATAATAATAATCGATATACTTAATATATCACATCAACCGTTAATGTATCACATTAACAGTCAACTAATGTAGTGATAAAATGTGCTAAATTTTGAAAATTAAGTTATGAAACATACAATTTTGAAAGTTAGATGAGAAAATTTGTAAAAATATAAAAAAAAATGATAAAAAATATAATTAAACCTTTTATATATAATTTGGTTTAACTATTTTTACTTGATTACTATAGTTGTCCTTATTTTAGTTTTAGTTCCTACACGTGTAAAAATTAAGTTTTGGTCCTCATTATTAACACCACTTCCTAACGGTTTTAAAAAAATTGTTTAGAGACTAAAACTTAATATAAGGACAACTATAGGCATCAAATGAATAGGTTAACTAAATAATTTTCTTTGATTGTGTAATAATTACAAATCATTTATATTTCATAGGACAATTGGGAGATTATCCATGGGGATTAAATGAACTGATAGCAACTTTCTCTTTAACTACTTATGTTAAAGCAAAAATAAAGAAGAGGAAATTACCGTTGGTATGATAAATTTTCCTGTGAGGAGGCAAATTGCTGGCAGAGTACAGTAAGCAATAAGAGGAAGGGATGTGAAAGGGTAGACAATGGTGTTTATGTAAGCCATTCTCTGCAGCCATTTGAGACGGCCACCAGCAAATCCATACCAGAGGGGGCAGTGTCTACTTAGGAAAATTTCAACTGATCCAAGTGCCCATCGAAGGACTTGGTGCAATCTATCAGACAGGTTGATAGGTGCTGACCCTTTGAATGCAGGCCTCAAAGGCATGCAGTAAATTGATCTCCATCCTCGACATTGCATCTTGAACCCCGATAAGATATCCTCAGTGACTGAACCATAAATCCAACCAATCTGAAAAGACAAGAAATAGTTTTAATTGATCAATGCAGAAACTGTAAGTTAAAGAATAAAATTAACTTTTCTATATGACTTTAAAAAAAAGTTTTTGAAGAAACTAATATAAGAGATTTTCTACAAATTAACTCATACATTATGCATAATTTAATTTTAACTTATGAAATTTATTTCTTTTTTTCTTCATATTTTTTTTCCTATAAGTGTTTTTGAAAGATTTTATCCAAACATGTCCTGGGATTTTGAAGGACATCGTACAGAAACACTAAATATTTAAGCCAAACCTCTTTTCCCCATTCGGTCTTTTCTTCATATCCACAGCTAATTACGTGAATGGCCTCCTTGATCAGCATGGAGGGATCTGCAGATTCAGGCACTCCTCCATTCTCCATTAGTGTAGATTCAATGAAAACAGTAGATAAGCCAAAAGTTTTTTCAAAGCTCATATTTGAAATCAGCATTGACCTCTCATGCTCATCGTAATCTGCAAGAAAAGAAGCCAGAAGAGTACTTCACAGAAGATTCTGCTACATGCTTATATAAATATGATTGATGAAGTTAACTGAGCTTACTGTCCATCTCCTTGAGATTTAAAGTGGCAGCCTCTAGTTCTTCCCTCTTTGCATTTCTGTAAACGTCTGTGGTGGACTTCTTTGAGGGGAAGCAACAGCATGAAGATCTTGGTAAGTTGGGCATAGAAGGTGGACTGTAGCCATAAAGTGCTTGTCTATTGAAAACACATCCAGTCCCCACATACACTGGTCCTTGAATGCCATCAAGTCCTTTCATGTTAACCTGAAGTGAACAATTAAAGACCATCAAATAGGGATGAGAGTCGGAAATTATATTGTTGTCCAGGAATTCTTCTGCAGGTTTGTTAGAAGTTACGGCATTGCATGCATGCACTGTATGTGTATTTGGAGAACGCGAAATCATTACATTAATGTTGTTAAGAATGAGACAATCACGACATAGGAACAGAACAAATGCAAAGGAATTGGACTCATCTCATGACTAGGCATAGTATTTGTGCATTGTTTGATGAGTTAAACTTTCTACCGCGTAAGATCGCATTTTTCTGTTGATTCGAGATGAAATTGTTGCATTGATATAACTTACATCAAAGAAAACTGTATTGCGATTGGCATACCGATCACTGTGATCAATACCATCAAATCTTTGGGGGAACTGCACATAACACACATCTCTACCAACTTCTGGATCCATGAGAAAACACATTGCTTCCCGAACGGCCTTACTGTTGTTAACATAGTGATCACAGTCAAGATTGAGAATGAAGGGAGCATTTGTGAGAACTGCAGACACTCTCACCTGCATAAATCCGTATAATCATTAAGCATTATAAAATTTTAATGACCTTATATGAAATGTTAGTGAACTATCTATTATCTATACATACCAGTGCATTTTCAGCTCCAGCTTTCTTGTGGTGTTGGTAACCTGGTCTTTTCTCTCTGGAAACATAAACGAGCCTGGGAAGTTCATTTCCTTCTGTGTCACGTGCACCAGTGTGTCCAAGAAAAACCTGGAAATGGTACACATAGATTTTGCTATATGTATACATGCACTTGTACTAATAATTGATTGCTAGAACTAAATTAATCAATCTTATGATCATAAAAGTTTTTCATCATAAAAAGAAGTGTTCTTTTCTTTATGCTTATCATTGTCAACAAAAGAGTCAATTGCACACACAAACAGTGAATATACCTGAATCATGCCAGGGTGATCACGTGAGTTATTTCCCGGCCAAGGTGTTCCATCTTGCATAGTCCATCCTTCTTCTGGTGTTTTCTGAGCCTTAGCTACCAAAGCATTAACCCGTACTTTATACTCTTCATAGTCTCTCTGACAGAATTGAAAAGTAATCATGAAGAAGTTTCTCTAAGAAACTCAATTTGGAAAAACATGATGTTGATTGATGAATAAATAAAATCAGATATATCTAATATCAAAGCTTACCTTCATTGCTCTACGCTCCTTCACAAAAGAAGGTTGCACCTTGTCCTTAAGATAGTCAATCTTCTGAGAGAAATAAAATTCAGGGGCTCTTGGTTCAATTGAAAACTTCTTGCAAAATGGCACCCACTTCCTTGCAAAGTCAGCAGTCTCCACAAGAGATTCAAATGTGAGCATTGCAGCACCATCATCAGACACATAACAGGATACTTTATCTACCGGATAGTCAACCGCAAGGATAGAAAGCACTGTATTAGCTGTGATCAATGGTGGCTCTTTCAAAGGATCCACTGTACTGACAAAGAAATCAACAGCAGCAAGTTCATTGGGTTCACCCTCTCTTTCAAACCTGGCATAACATTATAGAAGTGTGCATCAGCATTCAAAGTACAGGCTCAGTATCAATTCTTCTAAATGGCACTGTCTGTATGGATTTAATTTTGATTAAGAGAAAAATTTCCACTCTTCTCTAATAATTTGTTGCCATATCATTAAAAGTATATGCCTTGTTAAGTAACGGTCATCAACTAATCATAGTCAAAATCTCAAAATCATTGAATGATGTGACAACACATGATCATATCATCGTGTAGAACTTTTTTACAAAGGAAGTAGATAAAAATTAACTTGTATTAAATATTTTCATTTATTTTATTTTTATAGATTGCCTTTCACAATTCCTAATAGGGAAAG